AATTCATCGGTCTCAACAAACACACCGCAAAAAGAAGATTACATCGAATAGATCTCCACGAGAGAGGGGGAGAACATTGTATTGAGATCCAAAAAGAGAGAAGAATCCATCTAGCTACTAACTATGGACTCGAAGGTCTGAAGTAAACTACTCACACTTCATCGGAGGGGCTATGGTGATGATGTGGAAGCCCTCCGTGGTGGATGCCCCCTCCGGCGGAGCTCCGGAACAGGCCCCAAGATGGGATCTCGTGGATACAGGAAGTTACGGCGGTGCAATTAGGTTTTTGGCTCCGTCCCTGATCTGTTGGGGGTACGTAGGTATATATAGGAGGAAGGAGTACGTCGGTGGAGCGTCAGGGGACCCACGAGGTAGGGGGGCACGCCCAGGGGGAGGGCGCGCCCCCACCCTCGTGACCGCCTCTGGCACTCCTTGGAGTAGGGTCCAAGTCTCCTGGATCACGTTCGGTGAGAAGATCACGTTTCCGAAGGTTTCATTCCGTTTGGACTCCGTTTGATATTCCGTTTCTTCGAAACACTGAAATAGGCAAAAAATAGCAATTCTGGGCTGGGCCTCCGGTTAATAGGTTAGTCCCAAAAATAATATAAAAGTGGAAAATAAAGCCCATTATAGTCCAAAACAATAGATAAAGTAGCATGGAGCAATCAAAAATTATAGATACGTTGGAGACGTATCAGCCCCAGATGTCCAACCATTAGGAGGAACCATTTTTTGGGCTTGTAATAACGAAGCACTTGCTTGCATACTACCATGACGCTGGTGGGTCCCTACTGTCATCATCTCCATGTACAATCATCTCCTTGTTCCTCTTGGTTGTTGACAACATTGACAACGCAAGAGGGTGGCACACCGCGCACGGCGAGCTAAAGAAGGCGGAGGACGACGGCGAGGCCTCGGATGGAACGAACAAGAGCCATGGAAGATGCGCCTGTCCAGTCGCAGGTGGAGGAGAGTACGAGGGTTGCTGGTTTGGGTGTGGGTGCGTGCTGGGGCTGACATCGCCGGAGAATAACATGACGTGTGGGGGAATAGAGGGAGGGATTGGCCAACGTTGGAGGGTACGGTAGGGCGGCGGAGGCACAGCCAGCCCTGGGAGGCGGGAGTAGGCGGAACCGACGGGGTGGTTTGGTTTGGGCGTCTGGAGGAAGAAGAGAAGAGATAGATGATACACGACAGATATTGGATGTCAATCCAACGGCTGGTAGGCGGAATCGTTTGTTGACTAGCTAGTAAGTTGACACCACCTTGGATAGGCTTTTTCCTCATGGGTCTCAAATGTCAGAATCGAAATCTACAGCCCATTTGGTGTGCTAGTTCAAAATAAGTTTGTGGGTGCTGGTGGGGGCTAATCACTTGGGTTCTTTAATGCACAGTGAGCTCAAGCAGTCGGCGAGAGTGATGTTATTTCCCTTGGTTGGAATTTGTTACAGTATTTCACTCTTAATTAAACGAATGGCAAGCCATTTGCCTTGTTTCAAAGAAAATATGACAGTCACAGTTGAGTTGAAACGGGAATCAACATCTAACTCCAGCTTACAAACTGTACAAAAGCACGAGGGTTAATTGTTCATCAGGTTTAGACAAAACCCAGATTGAAAAGGGCAACAACATCTAACTCCAGCACTGTTTTCGGCAGTCACTGTCAAATGGATCCGTTAGGTCCATAGAATGAACATCTTGGGTCGTAAAATTTACTGGATTGTGACCACACGATGTTGTAAATAGAAGCCCGACATGTTCAGAAGCTCTTTTGTCCACATGAAACTCCTTTTTTTGCTCTTCGACATACCCATCCGTCAAAACCAAGCTGCTGATGAACTTAAGCCTGATGGACAATAGTAACCTCGCATTCAGCAGGAAGAATGTGACAAATCTAGTGTTTGCATGGTTGGCTACATATCATTCTAGCGTTATTGTCTTCAATTGAATGTCATGAGAAGTAAGAAAATCCTGGTGCTTACGAATCCATTGATTGGTTATAACTTTCTTACCCCGTCTAGTTGCCTAAATAGACATGAAGATTGAAAACAGTTAAGGTCTAAAAAAGAGTGTTGAAAGAGCAACAACCGAACGGTTAATTCTAGTACACTATATGCAGGCTTCCAACATGCGTGAAATTATCACCTTTATATACAACTTCGCCAGACATGGAAAGCATTGCAGCAAGCCAATAATCTTGTTTAGATCAAAACTATTCATTTGGATATATAAGATCTTGACAGAATCCAACACCATTGATAGGCTATCCATGGAGAAACTCTTCATTGAGCATAGAACATAATATTAGTACAAAATGTGTACTTCAAGATGATATAAAACTTATGCCCAAAAATTATGCAACTTATGGTTACAAGTGTAGATGATAATATACAGTACCTGAATAACTGTGGAGCCAAACACCAACTTGAAATGAGCACAGAGATCATGTATTACACCCAAGGTCTCCAGTTTAGGCGCATAGATGACGGTTATTTGCGACGGTGAATAACTAGAATCAAGGATCAACCTTTGAAGTGAAGGGGCATCTTAGATGATGAGATGCCTTCCATCAAAAGAAACTCCAATTCTTACAAGGGTAGGCGACTTTATTTGGAGACAGCCGATTGTAACTGCAAAAACAAGCACCAAGCACTCCAGGGCAGGACAACTGGAGTGGATGATGCTGTGCAATGAGGCCTCCGATATACGAACCCGCACAAGTGAAAGTTTTTTTGCGAAATCGGAGTCCAAGGTTTAGTACTAGATTGTCTGGTAGGTAGCACAGCGCAAAGGTAGCGGTGTGGAGAGAGGAGGAAAACCGCGAGATGGACATCGGTGGTGAGGGCACAAGTACATGGCGTTCGGTATCTGGTAGGTGATTTCCTGGGGAATAGTAGAACTCAAGCAACTATAGTTCTGTGAATTCAGGGGATTTAAGCCAGGCGTCCACCATGTAGGGCATGGTATGCTTTCTCAGGTATCATGACGGGATGCAGAGGCTTTGAACGGAGCCCTAGTGGGAGGAGATGATGGCTCTGGGGAGTTCAAAATCATTAAAGACAGATAGCTGACAACAGTCGAGATTAAGGGGCGCCGCGCGCCAAAGAGGGCGCCACCGAATTGAGAGGACTTGGGTGCGGCAGTAATCCTTGGTGGGGAGAAGCGAGATGATCTCCCCAAGGATGGCATCCGGAAGATCGCTGATGCGGTCCACCCAAGATTCTACGGGTTCCTAGAATCCGGTGGGGGCGGGCTCGTCAGCAGGTGATGCTTCGGAGGGACAATGGACGCGGTTGGTGGTCAGGGTGACTATAAGCCAAGCCATTGCCATTGCTGTTGAATCTCCCGAGCCGGCTGCCAATTGTTTTTTGAACTTGGAAAATGACACCACCTAAGACTCGGAGGTGAACACCGATTGGAATTTCAGCCATATTTTGAGGCTCATGTCTGAATGCGACCCAATAGGAAATGCACTATCATTTAACTCACTATGCTGCCTAAAGTTTCAAAGGCCCACAGTCAATTTTTTTAGAGGAAACCCAAGCTTTATTGATCAAATTCCCGAAGGAGAGGAATACAGAAGGGATCATGAGGTTGTAGCAACCAAACATGTCTACCCTGATCAAGAAAAAACGAAAACTTGGCTAATCTATCAGCATCAACATTTGTAGCATGACTTTCAAAACAGGAAATTACAATTGACAAAGGCAGATCTATTGAGGACGGCAATTTTGGACTGTATCCAATGATTTTGACAGGGTCTCGCTGGATTGTGTGCAGGAACTGAAGAGATGTCTTCACTTTGGGCTTTAAGGGTTGAGTGGGACTGTAATTTTTAGCCGATGGTCCATGGCTTTTTCTATCTGGGCCTACTTACTAGTAAGCGTGGCCTCTGCATTTTATCGCCATTGGGATACGTGGCATTGTCAGCGCACGGTAGACCGGGGAAAGGGGTAGGCTGAGGCGGCAGTCTATGGTTCTCGCGACGATCACGAGGGCATTTGCGCCCGCCGCTCACGGTGCCTCGCATCGCTTCCTCCCTATGATTAGTTTCGTTGTTTGTGCCAGTTTTTTTTCACAAATTTTCATGGTACTCCTTCGTATCGGCTTTCTTAGCTCTGCTACAAGGTATGGTACTAACTGTTTCTTCGGTCGTTTCTTGTGGCATGCAGTGGCGGAGCGCGAACCAGATATTACGGGGAAGGGCAAATGAGAGTATATTACATAGAAAAGGCTAGGGCGAGCAGAGACATCGGAGGATTATATTAGCACAACAATTAGCAAAAAGATAAGCTAATTTGGTAAATTTTCCTCCATGAGTATTGTTCATCACCAAAATCCATGAATGTTTTTCATGCAGCTCCCAATTCAAGATATTTCATCCTGAAATTTTACACACGTACATATTACATCCTTCAAGGAATCTCACATGTGTAAAAGAAATTCAGAAAAAATTAAAACTGGATGTTTGAGTTTTGGAATTTTCAAAATTAAGCCTCCATCGAATGATAGAAAAACACAATAATACAAAATGGCGGGGACAAGCACCAATCCACCATGTCCCACGTCGTGAGGGCATGCACATGGCTGGGACGGACCATTGCCTTTTCCCATGGCGTTTTCTGTGCAGCATCGCATACACGATGGGACAAAACTGGGCTCACCATCACGCGGAGAGTTGCCCTAGTTTATTCGTGTGGTCAAATTATATCTCTTATTATTTTACCTGTATAAAACGAAGCATGTCGCTTATTTTTTAAAAACATTGGTACATTGTCGGCAAAAAAGTTGCTCAGAACATAACCACACACGTCCATTTATTGGGAGAAACAACATGAAAAATGTACTGTCCCACAATCATACGAATGTAGGAAGAGAAAATTATGTTTCAAAACTAGAGCTTGTCCCACCAGTCTAAATCGTACCTTGAACTCTAAATCCCCAAAACTGATAACATGCATGTCAGTCACTGATCCTGGTTAATCCCGGGCACTGGTTAATCACATGATTGCGGGAGAAGGATGATCCAACGGCGGTGCACGTATATTCTTGAGCAGAACCTCAAGGTTGGCCAACGATCTGCCACCAGGTTGCGTCGTCGCACGGACGGCGATCTCCTTCCACTCCATCGCCTTCCGCCTCATCTCCCTCCCCACCTCGCCACCACCCATCACCTCCCTTATCCTCTCCTCCACCACCTCCCGGCGCACGTCGTCGCCGACCTCCATCATCGAGTTCCACCCGTAGTGCGTCAAGAAGATGCCCACGGTCTCGTGCCGCAGCACCGCCTCCTGCTCGCACCAGCTCGCCAAGAAACACCTGCCCTTGGTCGCCTCGAGGAACTCCGGCGGCAGCACTGCAGCGTCGCCCTGCACCAGGTCATTCCTCACGACCCAAAGGAAGTCGTAGCCACAGTTGGCCAGCCCCCAGGCGAACTCCACCAGATGTTCGCTGGTCATGGTGGTGATGCTCCCGAAGTTGACGTACACCACGGACCTCGGCTCCCTACCGCGGCGAGCGGGCCGCTGCCATCACCGCCGTCGGGAACCAGCTGCTCCACAACAAAATTGAGCGGGCCGATGGTGTAGACCGGCAGGGCGAGGATGCTGCGCATGGCGTCGAGCGCTGGCAGCTCCAGCTCGTCAAAGGTGTTGACGATCGATGACGGCGCCAGCACGGCTCGCCCGCCCTAGCTTGTGGATCATGAAGTTGAGCAGGATGTCGTCCTGGTCGGTGGTGTGGACGAAGGACGGGAAGTCCCGGAGGCACATGTGCTTTGTCATGCCGAGAGCATTTGTCACCGGCGTGTCCAGGTAGCCGTTCGTCAGTTTCTCTTCACCTGCTCATCAAACCGAACAGCAGACATGAAACCTCGCTGATTACTTGTTACACATCTCCATGTAAAATCTTGAGAGGTACGATATACACCCACATATGTTTTCAAGAAGTATATTGGTACCTTTAAGCGGAGTGAGGCCTTTCTCCATGAGGAACCGGAAGTTGTAATAGCCCATGTAACCGCACGCGCTCGCGGTCCAGAAGAGCGGGCACGGCACGCCGAGCTCCGCCGCGGCGTCCACCGCGAAGCTCATGATGCTGTCCGCGACGACGCACGTCACGGGCGGCGTCCCCGCTGCGCTTTTGTTGAGGCCGCCAAGCAGGCTCTTCAGGTGGGGGAGGCAGGTGGTCGTTGTGGAGTAGCAGATGGACGCCTGGGATGGTGGCGAAGCGGAAGTCCGGGAGGCCCGCGATGGCGCCTGGGCCGCGGGAACGGACAAGGCGCCGGTAGTTGTGCTCGGTGTAGACGAAGGTGATGTGGAAGCCCCTAGAGTGGAGGACCTTGGCCAGCTTCATCATCGGGGTGGCGTGGCCCTGCGCCGGGTACGGCACGCACACCGCGTGGGGCTTGCGGTCGGCGAGCATGTCGTCGCCTGGATAGTGCCGATGGAGATCGAGACTTTGCTTTTCTGGCAGGAAATAAAAGAAATTCAAACTTACGTACGGTACAGAGTGAGTGGGAATACTAATCAGTGCGTGGGCAGCGTGGACAGGGACAGGATAACTCCTCTTTTAGCACTCACCATTCAGCGTACTGTACCGCTAGTTCTTAGGCACGTGAAGACCGACGACTAGCATGTGAGATTCCAAGTTTGAGGCTTTATTTTTTAAGTGTGGGGCCGTATCAAATAGTGCACCACGATTGTCTAATTTAGATCCGGTCAGCAGTGACGTCGTTCATCATGTTTTCCCTCTGTCTCGAATTACTTGTCGGTGAAATGAATGTACTATCTAGACATATTTTAGTTCTAAATACATCCACTTTTATCTATTTCCACGACAAGTAATTCCGGACGAAGAGAGTACTTTATTGTCTAATTGTGCTGTCAAATGCATGTGATTGATGGATGAAGAGAGAGCGAAAAGAAAGAGAAAATGTGGTCCAGTGTGAGCCACATCCCCGTATCCTCATATTTTAAAACGAACTAGAAGTGTGCCCCGCGCATTTGCACGGCTAGATTTTATATATTTTATTTCTTCAAAAGATATTCGATTAACTATCATTCAAATATGACCGACATATATGATTTGTAGAAACACAACCACGATGTGGTGAACATGTATCTATATGAATTGTCTTGTGTTGTCGGTATAAGATTATAAAAAAAACTGATAGTATTAGTGCTTTTGGCTCATGTTTAAACCATGGACTTTGTACTAATCTTGGACTTTTCCTATTGCATATTTTCTAAAGTAACCAAAACAATGTCATACAGTGTGAAAATCGTTGTAGAAGCAATCTCAAATGGAAAAAGTGTCGTGCTTGAGGTTAGTTGAGGCAGTCATTTAGCCTTTTGTCATTGGCTATATGACGATGCTGTTTTTGCAAGATATATCCAAATTAGTTGAAGCAAGCTCATCTCACTTAAAATTACTTTGACAAAAATATAAACATTATATCTCCCTGCTTCACGGTTCCATCTCCCCATCTCTTCATATCATTTTTCCTACATGTGTCTCTGGTACTTTAAGCACAAATAGAATGCCTTATTTATATACTTCACATGGATTATTTTTACAACAGTTTTTGCTAAAACATCCTCTTAGTTACTCTCTTCTTAACTTCAGTTGTGACTTGTGCACATTGTTGTGGCTTTTCACTTGCACATGGTCCTAGCTTATTTGTGTGGAGTGGATGAATAAATTAATTGTGCCGCCATAAATAATGTATTTACTAAACTTAGCTGTGTACATATATTATTTCCCAAGTAAACAGCAACGTGTGACTGTATTAGATGAATAACAGGAGTGGGTTCAAGAGTATAATCAGCAGAGAATATATTCTGAAAATAAGCTTTGGTCGCAGCCCCCATGTCATCTCCGCCATGCTCAACTCCATGCAAGTCTACTAATTTCTTAATATTTTTTTCTTCTTGCTCGCCACACTGACATTGCATGGAAAAGCTTTGTATTACGATCTCCCTCCTTCAGCCACTAAATCCTTGATCTGTGCATCCACATCATCTCCTCGTGATACAACAACTCATCCATTTTACCCTATTCTTTTTAATCTCAGACCAGTCAATGTTCATATTCATGAGCTCTTGAAGCCTCGTTCGTGATATTTTTCCATCTCCCGCGTTACACTACTGAATTTTCTCCGGCTACATTGATGCAACGAGCTCATAAATTTCGCAAGTGCATGTCCAATATCACCCAGAATATTTGCAATTATTTCAGGATGTATTTTGTAGCGGCATCTCCATTTACATTACTGACAACGCACATGGACATATCTGGAGGTCAATATTCAATACAACCTATATAGATACATCTCCTTTTGGAGGTCTTAATATTGACATCTCCTTAGGCATATACAACCTATAATACATCTCCTTTTGAAGGTCTTCATTTTATTGCACCGAGGTAACGTAATCATTCGTCTCATATACTTTTGTCGTGCTATATATGGGACGTGGTTTGTGTTCTTTGACTTGACTGACGTGAGCATGCATGCATGCATTTTTACACACGCGCACAAAGTATAAGTACGTACGCATACACGGTAGTATATGTAATTTTGTAGTAGCATAAATTTCTCCCTGAAATCGATCAGCGTGGAGAGCGAAGCAGCATGGTCTCGATGGTGATTCCCGGACCGAAGGCCAGCATGGCGCCCCACTCCGGCAGCAGATGCCCACCATCCTCTTCCTTCCGACGCCGGCGCAGCTCGTCAAGCACGAAGACGATGGTGGCGCCACTCATGTTGCCGTACTCGCGGAGCACATGCCGGCTGGCCGCCAACTTACCTGGCTCCAGTTTGAGCACCGTGTCTATGTTATCCAGGATGGGACGGCCACCCGGGTGCACCGCCCAGAAGAGCTCGTTCCAGGAACCCGGAGCATCCCCGTCGAATGCGTCGAGGAGGCATCGCTCGACGTTCTGTCCGATCAGCATCGGCACCTGGATGGCGAGGTGGAAGTCTATGCCGCCTGCCGTGGCCTGCATGCCGAGCACGTGCTCGGTCCTCGGGATCGTCGTCTGCGTGGCGGTGACCATCTCGACGAGCGGGCGCTCACCTTCGCCGAAGGGTCCGGCGCCGACGATGACGGCGCCGGCGCCGTCCCCGAACAATCCGTGGCCCACGAGGTTGGCCCCGTCGGGGCTGCCAAAGCAGACAAGGGTCGTCTCCGCGCAGGCCACGAGGACGCGCGCGCCGTGGTTGTTCTCGGCGAGCTCCTTGGCGAGGTGGAGCGCCCTGCCGCCGCCGTAGCAGCCGTGGAGGCTGAGGATGGTGCGGCAGACCGTGGGGCGGAGGCCGAGGAGCGTGGCCAGCTTGAGGTCGGCGCTGGGGGCCTCCCACGCCGAGTAGGTGCTGAAGACGAGGTGGGTGATGTCGGTGGCCGGGCGGCCCCACTCGGCTATGGCCTTGGCGGCCGCGGACTGCGCGAGCTTCGGCACCGCGGTGGCGGCCATTTCTATGCGTGCGTCGAGGGATGGCAGCTCCCTGTCGAGGAGCTCTGGGTGGGCGGCAAGTGTCTCCTCGGTCAGATGGAAGTGGCGCTTTTCAATGCCCGTTTTCTGACCTGGAAATACAAAAAGACGAAACTCATGCATCCTCACATTTTTATCGCAAAAATGCTACATAACCTATATGTTTTGTGAAAATGTTACATAAACTTAAGTTTCGCCAACTAGTCATCTCCCCCGTAAATTTCATGTGGTTGG